AGGGATCCCAAAGCTCCTCCAGCTCCCACCCCATTCAGCCCATAGGGGTGGACTCACTTGGCTCCCTCCAGCAGGTCGGTGACGTTCCTCCGCTGGCCATGGCCATCGTTGTAGGTGGTCTCGTTGCCGACCATGATGACGCCCTTCTTGGCTTGGATGGCCGGGAAGCATCGGCGCGCCACTGGGAATAGAGGGGGAAAGGCGGCATCATCCAACCATCCGTCCATCGTGGATCCATCATGGATCCATCATCCATCCATCATCCAACCATCCATCCATCCATCCATCATCCATCCTTCATCCATCCATCATCCATCATCATCCGTCCATCATCCGTCCATCATCCATCCTCATCCATCCATCATCATCCATCCATCCATCATCCATCATCCATCCATCATCCATCCATCCATCATCCATCATCCATCATGCATCCATTATCCATCCATCCATCCTTTATCCATCATCCATCACCCATCCATCATCCATCCATCATCATCCATCCATCCATCATCCACCCATCCATCCATCCATCCATCCATCCATCCATCTATCATCCATCCATCATCCATCATCCATCCATCCATCATCCATCTACCACCCCAGAACAAGGATCCAAACCCCTTCCCAGACCCACACCCCCCCACTGCATCCCTGGAACCCCCCCACCAGGAGCCTCATCCCCACTGGAGCAGCCCCATCCCAGCCCCATCACCCTCCAGACCTACGTGGGGTGCTGGGGATGAGCACAGCCGGGCATTCCTTGTCCGCCAGCACCTGGATGGGATCCTGGATGGGGATGGATGGGGTGGACGTCAGCGCTTTGGGTGGGAATGACCCCATGGGACCACTGACACCATCCCATGGACCCACCTTCTGCAGGGCTGTGAACTCGGGCACGCAGAACCTGCGGTAGTGTTCCAGCCCCTGGGGTGAGCTGTGGGCATCCAGGAACGTCTGGAATCTGTCCGGGCATTCCCTGACACAGATCTGGAAAGGGAGAGCAGGACTCGGGCTCCGGATCCCCCTGCAGGGCCTGAAGGGGCTACAGGGAACCTGGAGGGGGGCTTTGGACACAGGGATGGAGGGATGGGGTAAGGGGAACGGCTTGAACCTGCCAGAGGGGAGATGGGATCATGGAAGTTCATCACTATGAGGGTGGTGGGACACTGGGATGGGTTGAAGGGAGAAGGCTTGGGTGCTCCATTAGAGCAACCTGCTGTAATGGGAGGCATCCCTGCCCATGGAACCGGATGGGCTTTAAGGATGCTTCCAAGCCATCCCTGCCCATGGAACCAGATGGGCTTTAAGGATGCTTCCAATCCATCCCTGCCCATGGAACCGGATGGGCTTTAAGGATGCTTCCAAGGCATCCCTGCCCATGGAACCGGATGGGCTTTAAGGATGCTTCCAATCCATCCCTGCCCATGGAACCGGATGGGCTTTAAGGATGCTTCCAAGGCATCCCTGCCCATGGAACCGGATGGGCTTTAAGGATGCTTCCAAGGCATCCCTGCCCATGGAACCGGATGGGCTTTAAGGATGCTTCCAAGGCATCCCTGCCCATGGAACCGGATGGGCTTTAAGGATGCTTCCAAGGCATCCCTGCCCATGGAACCAGATGGGCTTTAAGGATGCTTCCAAGGCATCCCTGCCCATGGAACCGGATGGGCTTTAAGGATGCTTCCAAGGCATCCCTGCCCATGGAACCGGATGAGCTTTAAGGATGCTTCCAAGCCATCCCTGCCCATGGAACCGGATGGGCTTTAAGGATGCTTCCAAGGCATCCCTGCCCATGGAACCGGATGGGCTTTAAGGATGCTTCCAAGCCATCCCATGATCCCAAGAAGCCGGAGCATCCCTGGGGAGCGGGGTCGATACCTGGGTGGTCGGGCACTGGAACTCCAGCAGCACCAAGGGGCTGGCGCACTTCACGATGTCAAAGTAGAAGAGGAAAGGTTTCCCCCTGCAAAGCAAAGCAGCACTCACATAGAGCCGGGATGCACTGCCCGGACCCCCCCCGGGATGGATATGTGGTACCCAAAGGAGGCAGTGGGGATGTGGTACCCAAAGGAGGCAGTGGGGATGTGGTACCCAAAGGGGGCACTGGGGATGTGGTACCCAAAGATGGCAGTGGGGATGTGGTACCCAAGGGGGGCAGTGGGGATGTGGTACCCAAGGGGGCAGTGGGGATGTGGTACCCAAGGAGGGCAATGGGGATGTGGTACCCAAGGGGGGCACTGGGGATGTGGTACCCAAAGGAGGCAGTGGGGATGTGGTACCCAAGGGGGCAGTGGGGATGTGGTACCCAAGGAGGGCAATGGGGATGTGGTACCCAAGGGGGGCACTGGGGATGTGGTACCCGAAGGGGGCAGTGGGGATGCGGTACCCAAGGGGGCAGTGGGGATGTGGTACCCAAGGAGGGCAATGGGGATGTGGTACCCAAGGGGGGCACTGGGGATGTGGTACCCAAAGGAGGCAGTGGGGATGTGGTACCCAGGGGGGCACTGAGGATGCGGTACCCAAGGGGGCAGTGGGGATGTGGTACCCAAGGGGGGCAATGGGGATGCGGTACCCAAGGGGGGCACTGAGGATGCGGTACCCAAGGGGGCACTGGGGATGTGGTACCCAAGGGGGGGCACTGAGGATGCGGTACCCAAGGGGGCACAGCCACGTACTCATTGGGTGTCCCCTGCTGCCCGCAGAACTGCCCACGGCTGTCAGTGGGGTAGATCACCTTCCGGGGGTCCCCATAGCTCCAGGCTGCGTGTGGGGAGGCAGAAGAGGCGGTCATGGTCGTCCCTATGGGCCTCGGACCCACATCTCCCCATGGAGACCTCCCCATCCCTTTTGGAGGCTCAGCCCCCCCCACATACCCAGGATGCCCACTACCACATAGCCTGCGATGGCGAGGACCAGCAGGATGCAGCAGATGATGTCCGTGCAGCCCCTGCCATAGGGAAGAGCAGCATTGGGAATGGGAATGGGAACGGGAATGGGAATGGGAATGGGAATGGGAACGGGAACGGGAATGGGAATGGGAACGGGAACGGGAATGGGAACAGGAACGGGAACGGGAACGGGAATGGGAATGGGAATGGGAATGGGAACAGGAACAGGAATGGGTGCCTGGGCTCTTTACCTGTCGTAGATGGGACCTTTGAAGGTCGGGTCGTACTTCTGTGGTGTCCCTAGGGAAGCGCATTGGGAATGGGAACACTGAGGGGTGGGATGGGGAGGAAGGGGCTCCTCCTCCTCCTCCTCCTCCTCAGCAGGGAACACAACGCTTCCCCCCGGAGCGGTTTTCCCATTGGAAAACCCATTCCCATCAGCGTCCCCCCTGGGATACCCCCAGATCCCATTGGAGCAGCGCAGGGGAAGGGAAGGGGGGGGGAATGCTGGGAATCCAGCACCAGATCCCACATCCCCGCTTTATTTATAGGGTGGGAACCCAGCCAGGATGGGGGGGGGGGGGGGTTTAGGGGGGTTCCACTTCCGGCTGTTTTGGGGGGGGATTCAGGGACCCCCCCCAACCCCACCTCGGAGCCAAGTCCCGGCCCCACCGCGTTCGGCCCCATCGCTCCGCACGGCGCAGCCACGCTGCGCTACCGGTTACACCGGCTCCACGGCGCCCCCCCCGGAACCAACGAACGCTTTCGGTTTCGTTTCCCCCCCCCCAGTCCCGTTTCCTCCCGTTCCCCCCATACCCCCCCCCTGTTCCCTACCGTGCTTCCCGTAGTAGCCGTCCCCATGGCCCCCCATTGCCAACGCCGTCGCTCGGCTCCGGACGCTCCGCCCTGGGCGTGCCCGTTCCCCCCCCCCCTCCCGTCCGGTAACGTCAACGGCGACGGCGTTAAAGGAGCCGCAGCGGGAACCGGAGGGGTCGGGGCCGCCGTTCCCGACCCCGTTCCCGTTCCCGACCCCGTTCCCGACCCCGTTCCCGTTCCCGACCGGGTTCCCGACCGCGTTCCCGTTCCCGACCCCGCTCCCGTTCCCGACCCCGCTCCCGTTCCCGACCCCGCTCCCGTTCCCGACCTCGTTCCCGACCCCGTTCCCGACCCCGTTCCCGGCCCCCTTCCCGTTCCCGAACCCGAACCCGTTCCCGAACCCGTTCCCGGCCCCCTTCCTGTTCCCGACCCCGCTCCCGTTCCCGGTCCCGTTCCCGATCCCGTTCCCGACCCCGTTCCCGTTCCCGTTCCCTGCCCCATCAGAGGCAATAATAAAGCAGGGTCCCGGTGATGTCAACGGGAGCAATGGGAGATGCTTCGGGCTCCCAATCACCGCTTTACCACTATGGAATGGGGGTTCCCCATTAGCAAACGGGGGGGGTCCCCATTGGACACCCCCACTTCGGGGTTGGGGGGGGGGGCTCGGGGATGCTGTGGGACAGCGAGGTTGGGGGTGCAGGGAACCCCCCCCCGAAGATGGAGCATTGGGGGGTGCAGGGTGGAGATCGGGGACCCCCTGGGATGGGGATGCGGGAGTCGGGGTCCCATTGGGACCCCATCATGGGGGGGGTCCATTGGTGATGTGGCCCTATGGATGGGGGATCCCATGGGGGGGGTCCCATGCGTGATGGGGTCCCATGGATGGGGGGAGTCCCATAGGTGGGGGGGTCCCATGGGTGATGGGGTCCTATGGATGGGGGTCCCATGGGTGTTGGGGTAGACAAATGAGGGTCCATGGATGGGGGATCCCATGAGGGGGTCCCATGAGTGTTGGGGTACCATGGATGGGCGAGCTAATGAATGGGAGGTCCCATGGATGGAGGGGGTCCCATGGATGGGGGAGGTCCCATAGATGGGGGGGGCCCATGGGTGTTGGGGTCCCGTGGATGGGGATCCCATGGGTGTTAGGGTTCCATGGATGGGCAATCCAATGGATGGGAGGTCCAATGGCTGGGAGGTCCCATGGATGGGGGGGTCCCATGGATGGGGGGGTCCCATGGATGGGGGGGTCCCCACGGGGGTTCCCCCCCCCTCCCTCTTCCCCCCCCCCATTGTCTCTGGGGCCCGATCCTTCCCCTTTAAGACCCTGGGGCGCTGCCGCTCACCTGCGCAGGTGACGGCGGCGCTGACGTGCGCGGGGACCGCCATGGCCGCCTCTGCCCTCTTCATCCTGGACCTCAAGGGGAAGGTGAGGACCCCCCCAAGGACCCCCCTTAAAGGGGCAACCCCAATGACCGCCAATTGGAGCGGGGGTCCCATCTAATCCTACCCCCACATTGACCTCAAGGGGAAGGTGAGGACCCCCCCCCCCAAGGACCCCCCTTAAAGGGGCAACCCCAATGACCCCCAAATGGGGTGGGGGTCCCATCTAATCCTACCCCCCCATTGACCTCAAGGGGAAGGTGAGGACCCTCCCAAAGACACCCCTTAAAGGGCCAACCCCAATGACCCCCAATTGAGGGGGGTCCCCTCTAATCCTACCCCCCCATTGACCTCAAGGGGAAGGTGAGGACTCCCCCCAAGGAACCCCCTTAAAGGGGCAACCCCAATGACCCCCAGTTGCGGGGGGTCCCCTCTAATCCTACCCCCCATTGACCTCAAGGGGAAGGTGAGGACCCCTCCCTTAAAGGGGCAACCCCAATGACCCCCAATTGAGGGGATCCCCTCTACTCCTACCCCCCCATTGACCTCAAGGGGAAGGTGAGGACCCCCGCCTTAAAAGGGCAACCCCAATGACCCCCAATTGGGGTGGGGGTCCCATCTAATCCTACCCCCCCATTGACCTCAAGGGGAAGGTGAGGACCCCCCCCTAAAGGGCCAACCCCAATGACCCCCAATTGAGGGGGGTCCCCTCTAATCCTACCCCCCCATTGACCTCAAGGGGAAGGTGAGGACCCCCCCCTTAAAGGGGCAACCCCAATGACCCCCAATTGGGGCGGGGGTCCCCTCTAATCCTCCCCCCCATCTTTGCTACCCCCCCCTTCCATCCTTAGCCCCTCATCAGCCGCAACTACAAAGGGGATGTGGGGCCGGGGGAGATCGAGCACTTTATGGGGCTGATGCTGCAGCGGGAGGAGGAGGGGGCCCTGGCGCCGCTCCTGCCCCACGGCCACGTCCATTTCCTCTGGATCCAGCACTCCAACCTCTACCGTATCCTTTGCACCCCGATCGGGGGCACCCCCCCTTGGTACCCCCCCTCCCCTTTGGTTTGCCCTTAACCCCCCCCAATAGTGGTGGCCATCACCAAGAAGAATGGGAACGCATCCTTGGTGTTTTCCTTCCTCTATAAGGTGGTGGAGGTGAGTTTGGGGGGGTAAACCCTTATTTGGGGGGGTAAACCCTTATTTTGGGGGGTTAAAACCCCGTTTTGGGGAGGAAACCCCCGTTTTGGGGAGGAAACCCCCATTTTGGGGATGAAACCCCCATTTTGGGGAGGAAACTCCCATTTGGAGGGGGAAACCCTCATTTTTGGGACAAAACCCCCATTTTGGGGAGGAAATCCTCATTTTGTTGAGGAAACCCCACATTTTTGGGGAGGAAAGCCTCATTTTGGGGATGAAAATCCCATTTGGAGGGGGAAACCCTCATTTTTGGGACAAAACCCCCATTTTGGGGAGGAAATCCTCATTTTGTTGAGGAAACCCCACTTTTTTGTGGAGGAAAGCTTCATTTTGGGGAAGAAAATCCCATTTGGAGGGGGAAACCCCCATTTTGGGGAGGAAACCCCCATTTTGTTGAGGAAATCCTCATTTTGTTGAGGAAAACCCACATTTTTGTGCAGGAAAGCCTCATTCTGGGGAGGAAAACCCCATTTGGAGGGGGAAACCCTTATTTTGGGGAGGAAACCCCCATTTTGGGGTGGAAAACCCCATTTTTGGGGAGGAAACCCCCATTTTGGGGAGGAAACCCCCATTTTGTTGGGGAAATCCTCATTTTGTTGAGGAAAACCCACATTTTTGTGCAGGAAAGCCTCATTCTGGGGAGGAAAACCCCATTTGGAGGGGGAAACCCTTATTTTGGGGAGGAAACCCCCATTTTGGGGTGGAAAACCCCATTTTTGGGGAGGAAACCCCCATTTTGGGGAGGAAACCCCCATTTTGTTGGAGAAATCCTCATTTTGTTGAGGAAAACCCACATTTTTGTGCAGGAAAGCCTCATTCTGGGGAGGAAAACCCCATTTGGAGGGGGAAACCCTTATTTTGGGGAGGAAACCCCCATTTTGGGGTGGAAAACCCCATTTTGGGGTGGAAACCCCCGGTTTGGGGATGAAACCCCCGTTTTGGGGGAGGAAACCCTCATTTTGTTGAGGAAAACCCACTTTTTTGTGGAGGAAAGCCTCATTTTGGGGAGGAAAACCCCATTTTGGGGGGAAAGCCTCATTTTGGGGGAGGAAATCCTCATTTTGGGTTGGAACCCCCCCTTTTGTGTTGCCCCCCCCCTTTTGGGGTTCATGTCCCGAGGCGCCGATGGGGTGCTCGCACCCCCCCACTGCAGGTGTTCCGGGAGTACTTCAAGGAGCTGGAGGAGGAGAGCATCCGGGACAACTTCGTCACCGTCTACGAGCTCCTGGACGAGCTCATGGATTTCGGCTTCCCGCAGACCACGGACAGCCGGATCCTGCAGGAGTGAGGGCCTGGGGGGGTATGGGGGGCTATGGGGCAGGGACCCCCCAGGAGCCCCCCATCACCTCTCTGTGGTCCTACCCCCCCCAACATCACCCCCCCCATCATCACCCCTCTGTGGTCCTACCCCCCCCAGGACCCTCCCATCACCATCACCCCTCTGTGGTCATACCCCCCACAGGACACCCCCCCCATCATCACCCCTCTGTGGTCCTACCCCCCCATCATCACCCCTCTGTGGTTCTATGCCCCCATTATCACCCCCCCCATCATCATCCCTCTGTGGTCCTACCCCCTCCAAGGACCCCCCCCCATCATCACCCCGCAGTGGTCCTAACCCCCCCCCGGACCCTCCCATCACCATCATCCCTCTGTGGTCCTACCCCCCCATCATCACCCCTCTGTGGTCCTAACCCCTCCCCAGACCCTCTGATCATCACCCTTTGTGGTCCTACCCCCCCCCAGGACCCCCCCTCATCATCATCCCTCTGTGGTCCTACCCCCCCCCAGTCCCCCCCCATCAGCACCCCTCAGTGGTGTGGCCCTACCCCCCCCCAGGTACATCACCCAGGAGGGGACCAAGCTGGAGCGGGGGGGGTGCCGGGTGCCCAGCACCGTGACCAGCGCCGTGTCCTGGCGCTCCGAGGGCATCCGGTACAAGAGGAACGAGGTCTTCATCGACGTCGTTGAGGCGGTGAACCTGCTGGTGAGGGGGGGCACGGGGGGTGGGATGGGGCCATTGGTGGGGATGGGGTCATTGGTGGGGATGGGGCCATTGATGGGGCTGGGGTCATTGATGGAGCTGGTGCCATTGATGGAGCCGGTGCCATTGATGGAGCTGGGGTCATTGATGGAGCCGGTGCCATTGATGGAGCCGGTGCCATTGATGGAGCTGGGGTCATTGATGGAGCCGGTGCCATTGATGGAGCCGGTGCCATTGATGGAGCCGGTGCCATTGATGGAGCCGGTGCCATTGATGGAGCTGGGGTCATTGATGGAGCCGGTGCCATTGATGGAGCCGGTGCCATTGATGGAGCTGGGGTCATTGATGGAGCTGGTGCCATTGATGGAGCCGGTGCCATTGATGGAGCTGGGGCCATTGATGGAGCTGGGGCCATTGATGGAGCCGGTGCCATTGATGGAGCTGGGGCCATTGATGGAGCTGGGGTCATTGATGGAGCCGGTGCCATTGATGGAGCCGGTGCCATTGATGGAGCTGGGGTCATTGATGGAGCCGGTGCCATTGATGGAGCCGGTGCCATTGATGGAGCTGGGGTCATTGATGGAGCCGGTGCCATTGATGGAGCCGGTGCCATTGATGGAGCTGGGGTCATTGATGGAGCTGGGGCCATTGATGGAGCCGGTGCCATTGATGGAGCTGGGGCCATTGATGGAGCTGGGGCCATTGATGGTGCTGGGGTCATTGATGGAGCTGGGACCGTTGATGGAGCTGGAGCCATTGATGGAGCTGGGGCCATTGGTGGAGCTGGGGCCATTGGTGGAGCTGGGGCCATTGATGGGGATGGGGCCATTGATGGAGCTGGGGCCATTGATGGAGCTGGGGCCATTGATGGAGCTGGAGCCATTGATGGAGCTGGGGCCATTGATGGAGCCGGTGCCATTGATGGAGCTGGGGCCATTGATGGAGCTGGGGCCATTGATGGAGCTGGAGCCATTGATGGAGCTGGGGCCATTGGTGGAGCTGGGGCCATTGATGGGGATGGGGCCATTGATGGAGCTGGGGCCATTGATGGAGCTGGGGCTATTGATGGAGCTGGGGCCATTGATGGGGATGGGGCCATTGATGGGGCTGGGATCATTGATGGAGCTGGGACCATTGATGGAGCTGGGACCATTGATGGAGCTGGAGCCATTGATGGAGCTGGGACCATTGATGGAGCTGGGACCATTGATGGAGCTGGGACCATTGATGGAGGACCATTGCCATTGCTGGTGCTATTGCTGGTGCCGGTGCCATTCCCGGTGCCACAGCCTGGCCATAACCGGTTGCCATGGCCGCAGGTGAGCGCCAGCGGCGCGGTGCTGCTCAGCGAGGTGCTGGGCACCATCAGGCTCAAGGTTTTCCTCTCGGGGATGCCCGAGCTCCGCCTGGGCCTCAACGACCGCGTCCTCTTCGAGCTCACCGGCAGTGAGTGATGGGGGGGGTCACATCACCTCCATGGGGGGTTCCCATCACCTCCGTGGGGCTCAATGGGGGTGGTCCCATCAGCTCCATGGGGCTCTGTGGGAGGGGTCCCATCACCTCCGTGGGGCTCTATGCGGGGGTCCCATCACCTCCATGAGAGGAGGTCCCATCACCTCCATGGGCTCTATGGGAGGGTCCCATCACCTCCCTGGGGCTTAATGGGGGGGGTCCCATCACCTCCATGGAGTTCAATGGGGAGGGTCCCACCACCTCCATGGGAGGAAGTCCCATCACCTCCATGGGCTCTATGGGGGACTCCCATCAACTCCACTGGGCTCTATGGGGGGCTCCCATCACCTCCATATGAGGAGGTCCCATCACCTCCATGGGGCTCAGTGGGGGCATCCCACCAGCTCCATGGGGGGGGCTCCCATCACCACCATATGGAGGTCCCATCACCTCCATGGCAGGAAGTCCCATCACCTCCATGGGGCTCTATGGAGGGGTCCCATCACCTCCGTGGGGCTCTATGGGAGGGGTCCCATCACCTCCCTGGGTCTCAATGAGGGGCTCCCATCACCTCCATGGGCTCTATGAGGAGCTCCCATCACCTCCCTGGGTCTCAATGGGGGTCTCCCATCCCCTGCACCCCCCCATCCCCACTGCAGGGGGCAGGACCAAGTCGGTGGCCCTGGAGGACGTCAAGTTCCACCAGTGCGTGCGCCTGTCGCGCTTCGCCTCGGACCGCACCATCTCCTTCATCCCCCCCGACGGTGACTTCGAGCTCATGGCCTATCGGCTCAGCACGCAGGCGAGCCCCGGGACCATGGGGGGGCATGGGGGGGGTATGGACACATGGGGGTCACTGCATCCCCCCCCTCTGTCCCCATTGCAGGTGAAGCCGCTCATCTGGGTCGAGTCGGTCATTGAGAGGTTCTCCCACAGCCGGGTGGAGATCCTGGTCAAGGTGAGGGGATGGGGGGGGTGACACAGAGATATAAGGGCCCCCTGCATGACATTTATACACCATTAACCCCCCATTACCCCCATTATCACCCCATTATACCCCATCAATCACCCCATTTACCCCCATTACCCCATCACCCCATCACCCCCATCATCCCATTACACCCATCATCCCATATACCCCCCTCATCCCATTACCCCCATCATCCCATTTACCCCCATCACCCCATTTACCCCCATCACCTCATCACCCCATTACCCCCTCACCCCAATACCCCATTACCCCCATCACCCCCATCATCCCATTCCCCAATCACCCCATTTACCCCCATCACCCCATTTACCCCCATCACCCCATTACCCCCATCACCCCATTTACCCCCTCACCCCATTACGCCCTCACCCTATTACCCCCATCACCCCATTTACCCCCCTCACCCCATTACCCCCTCACCCCATTACCCCCATCACCCCATTTACCCCCCCACCCCATTACCCTATCATTTCCTTTACCCCCATTTACCCCCCATCACCTCATTTACCCCCATCACCCCATTACACCCCCAATAACCCCCCATCCCCCCCCCAAGGCCAAGGGCCAGTTCAAGAAGCAGTCAGTGGCCAACGGGGTGGAGATCTCGGTGCCGGTGCCCAGCGACGCCGATTCCCCCAAGTTCAAGACCAGCGCTGGCTCCGCCAAGTACGTCCCGGAGCGGAACCTCGTCCTCTGGACCATCAAGGCCTTCCCGGTGAGCCCCAGCGCCAACACCACTGACAGGGCACCGGTGCTTCCATCCCATCCCCATCCCCATCCCCATCCCATCCCATCCCCATCCCCATCCCCATCCCCATCCCCATCCCATCCCATCCCCATCCCATCCCATCCTATCCCCATCCCATCCCCATCCCATCCCATCCTATCCCCATCCCATCCCCATCCCATCCCCATCCCATCCCATCCTATCCCCATCCCATCCCCATCCCATCCCCATCCATCCCCATCCCCATCCCATCCCCATCCCCATCCCCATCCCCCCATCCATCCCCATCCCCACCCATCCATCCCCATCCCCATCCCATCCATTCCCATTCCCTTTTCCCATCCATCCCCATCCCCATCCCATCCCATCCCCATCCCATCCCATCCCCATCCCCATCCCCATCCATCCCCATCCCCATCCCGTCCCCATCCATCCCCATCCCCATCCCATCCCATCCCCATCCCCATCCCATCCCATCCCCATCCCCATCCCATCCCCATCCCCATCCCATCCCATCCCCATCCCCATCCCCATCCCATCCCCATCCCCATCCCCATCCCATCCCATCCCATCCCCATCCCCATCCCCATCCCCATCCCCATCCCCATCCCATCCCCATCCCATCCCATCCCATCCCCATCCCATCCCCATCCCATCCCATCCCCATCCATCCCCATCCCCATTGGTGCCCCATCCCCATTGGTGCCCCATCCCCATTGGTGCTCCATCCCCATCCCATCCCCATCCCTCCCCATCCCCATCCCACCCATGGGTGCTGCACAGGGGGGTCGGGAGCACGTGATGCGCGCCCACTTTGGGCTGCCCAGTGTGGAGCGGGAGGAGGACGAGGGGCGCCCCCCCGTGGCCGTGCGCTTTGAGATCCCCTACTTCACCGTGTCCGGGATCCAGGTGCGGGGCTATTGGGGTGTCCCATGGGGAATTGGGGTGTTCGATGGGGAACTGGGATGTTCAATGGGGAATTGGGGTGTTCAATGGGGGTATTGGGGTGTTCAATGGGGAATTGGGGTGTTCAATGGGGGTATTGGGGTGTTCAATGGGGAATTGGGGTGTTCGATGGGTAACTGGGGCGTTCAATGGGGAATTCGGGTGTCCAATGGGGAAATTGGGGTGTTCAATGGGGAATTGGGGTGTTCAATGGGGAATTGGGGTGTTCAATTGTGTATTGGGGTCCAATGAGGGTATTGGGGTGTTCAATGGGGGAATTGGGGTGCTCAATGGGGTAATTGGGGTGTCCAGTGGGGGTATTGGTGTGTATGGGCGGTATTGGTGTCCAATGGGGTATTGGGGTACCCAATGGGGGGGTACTGGGGTGCCTGGGTGTTGTTGGGGTCCCTGGGGGGGATCCCCATCGGGCTGTGCCGCAGGTCCGGTACATGAAGATCATCGAGAAGAGCGGGTACCAGGCGCTGCCCTGGGTGCGCTACATCACCCAGAGCGGGGGTGAGCGCGGGGGGACCCCCCAAGGACCCCCCAGCCCCTTTTAAGGGATCTCACAGCCTCTTTTAAGGGACCCCCCCCCTCACGGCTGCTCTCCCCATTGCAGACTATCAGCTCCGCACCGGTTAATGAGGTCCAGCCCCCCCCCGGACCCCCCGATATAAAGAAAGAGCTGTGGACCCGATCCTGTGTCTGTGTTCTTTGGGGGGCATCCCCAGATGCGGTCCCCACTTGCGTTGCCCTTTTAAGGGGGGAAGGGGCGTGGCCGTTGTGTCCGGTCACGTGACGCCGGCGGAAGGGGAAGGGGGTGGGCCCGTTGGTCACGTGGGTCGGAGGAATGGCGGCGCCGAAGCTCCGCGTGAACGCGGCCTTCGCGGAGCGGCTCCGGCGGAACCGGGAACGGGAGGAGCTGAGGAGGCGTGAGGGGGGACAGCGACGGGGATAACGGGGATAATAACGGGAACGGGATAACGAGAATAACAGCGGGGATAACGGGGATAACAGCGGGCATAACAACGGGAATAACAACAACGGGGATAACGGGAATAACAAGGGTAATGGGAATGGGGATAACAGCGGGGATAATAACGGGAATAGCTACGGGAATAATAACGGGATAACAACGGGGATAACGGGGATGATAAAGGGAATGAGAACGGGAATGAGAATAACGGGGATAACGCGAATGGGAACGGGAATAACAACGGGAATAACAACGGGAATAACGGGGATAACAACGGGAATAGGAATGGGAATAACAACGGGGATAACAACGACAATAACAACGGGAATGGGAACGGGGTAACAACGAGGATAACAACGGGAATGGGAATAACGGGGGTAACAGGAATAACAGGGTTAATGGGAATGAAAATGGGGATAATGGGAATAATGGGAATGGGAAATAGGGACTGGGAGCGGGAATGGAAATGGGGATAACAGGGATAACAACAGGGAATAAGGGGTATAATGGAAACAGCAATGACAACAGGGAATGGTGATGGGAAATGGAGTGGGAGCAGGAATGGGAGTGGGAATGGAGAATGTGGAATAGGAAATAGGGAATGGGGTGCGAATAGAATGGGAATGGGAAACGGGAATGGGGATGGGAGTGGGAATGGGAATGGAAAATAAGGAATGGGATGGGAATGGGAACGGGGAATGCAGACGAGAAAGGGGGATAAGGAGTGGGGAAGGGAAACAAGGAATGGGAATGAGGAATAGGGAATGGGAAGGGGATGAGAGCGTGGAATGGAGACAAGAAAGGGGTTTAGGGATGGGAATGGGAGCTTGAAAGGGAAACGGAATGGGAATGGGAGCAGGGAATGGGAATGGGGACAGGGAAGGGGGAAAGAGTGTGGGAAAGGGGGGCAGGAAGCGGGGATGGGAACAGGGAATGGGAAAAGGGAATGGGAATGGGGCTGGGAATGGCTGGATCCCAGTGGGGGGGGGGGGGATGCTGGTTCCTCACCCCCCCTCCCTGCAGTGCAGGAGCGCTATGGGGACACCGGCTCTGGCTCCAGCTCCGAGTCCGACTCCAGTGGGGACGAGGTGGTGAGTCCGGGAATGGGGATGGTGGGGATCCCCTCCCCCCTTCCCCAATCCCTGCTTCCCAACCCCATCCCCCTCCAAGCCCGAGGATCCCATCCTGGAGCGGGAATTCTACCGGATGCTGGCGCTGCTCAAGACCCGGGATCCCCGCATCTATCGCCCCGACAGCACCTTCTACACCCCCAGAGGTACCCGGGGGGGGGGGGAATGGGGGGGTGCAATAAGGGGGGGCCCCATTCCTTATTCCCATTCCCAGATTCCTCCTCCTCATCATCATTGGAGGAGGAGGAGGAAGAGGAGGAAAAGCGCCCGGCAAAGCCGATGTTCCTGAAGGACTATGAGAGGAAAGTGGTGCTGGAGAAGGAGGGGTAAGGAGGGGGATTTGGGGTGGGGGGGAATGGGGGGGGTCTGACACCCCCCCCCCTTGCCCAACCTGGCTCTCCCCATAGCAAATACGTGGATGAAGAGGATGAGGAGGACGAGGAGGCTGCAGCAAAGAGGAGGAAGGTGGGGATGGGGGGGGGCATAACCCCCCCTATATCACAGTGACCCCCCCAATATCACATTGATACCCCCTACATCACATTGAACCCCACGTTTACATTGACCCCCCCAATCCCACTGACTCCCCCAATCACAGTGATGCCCCCAACATCACATTGACCCCCCCTACATCACGTTGAGCCCCCCATTGACATTGACCCCCAATCACATTGACCCCCCCATATTACACTAACCCCCAATATCACATTGAGCTCCCCATATTGCATTGATCCAATCACAGACCCCCCCAGTTACATTGATCCCCCAATATCACATTGAACCCCCGATATCATATTGATCTCCCGTCCCATTGGCTTTATCATTGACCCTGCAATCACATTCCCTCCAATATCATATTGCACCCCTCAATCATTGATCCCCCTAATATCACATTGCCCCCCCCAATATCACATTGCCCCCCATCACACTCCCCCCCCATCTAACCTTGCCCCCCATTCCCCCCCCAGCGAATGGCTTCCAAGAGCTACGTGGAGGAGCAGCAGGAGCTGAAGGAGAGGTGGGAGCCGGGGGGGGCCCCCCTTTTATCCCTTTATTGGGGGGGGTAACTGAGTCCTGTACCCCCCCCCCAGCTTCCGACCCTTCATGGCTGAGAGCGAGGATGAGGAGGAGGGGGGGGGCTCTGCTCTGCTGCGGCCCCGCACTCGGACAGAGGAGGAGAAGGTGACGGGGGGACAATGGATGGGGGGGTCAATGGATGGGGGCTCCGTGAATGGGGCGGCAATGGATGGGGGGCGTCAATGGTTGGGGGAGTCAGTAGATGGGGGAGCAATGGATGGGGGGGCAATGGATGGGGATGTCAATGGTTGGGGGGGTTCAAAGGATGGGGGGGATCCATGGATGGGGAGGGTCAATGGATGGGGGGAGTCCATCAATGGATGTGGGGGATTCATGGATGGGAGGGGTCAATGGATGGGGGTTCAATGGATGGTGGGGTTCCATCGATGGGGGGGTCAATGGATGGGGGGAGTCCATTAGTGGATGGGGGGATCCATGGATGGGGAGGGTCAATGGATGGGGGGAGTCCATCAATGGATGAGGGGGTGTCAATGGATGGGGGGGATCCATGGTTGGGGGGGTCACTGATGCTCTGCCCCCCATAGGAGCAGGAGGAGGAGGAGTACATCCGGTGGCTGAAGGGGCAGGGGGGGCCCCCCCCGGAGCCACTGCAGGAGCTGGTGAGGGCTGAGGATGGGGGGGGGTTGAATGGGGGGGGGGTCCCTGTGTACTCCCCGCTCCCCATTCCCACAATGGGTCCCCCCCTCCCCATTCCCACAATGGGTGCCCCCCCCTCCCCATTCCCACAATGGGTGCCCCCCTCCCCATTCCCACCATGGGTCCCCCCCTCTCCCCATTCCCACAATGGGTGCTCCCCCCTCCCCATTCCCACAATGGGTGCCCCCCCCTCCCATTCCCACCATGGGTGCCCCCCCCTCCCCATTCCCACCATGGGTGCCCCCTCTCCCCATTCCCACCATGGGTCCCCCCCATCCCCATTCCCACCATGGATCCCCCCCCCCCCAGGCCCCCCTGCAGCGGTTCTGGACGGACCCGGAGCTGGAGGCGGGCGAGCGGTTCCTGCGGGATTACCTGCTGGAGCGCGGCTACCGGGAGCGGGACGAGGACGAGGAGGAGGAGGAGGCCGAAGGGTGCGGGGGGGGGGCCCCCTTTCTGCCCCCCCATTCACCCCCTTCCCTTCCCCTTTTCCCTTCTTTCCCCCCCCTTTCCTTCCCCCTTTCCTTCCCCTTCCCCCCCTTTTCCCCCCTTTTCCCCCCTTTTCCCCTCTTCCCCCTGTTTCTCCCCCTTTTTCCATTTCCCCCCCTTTTCCTCTCTTTCTCCTTCCCGTTTCCCCCCTTTTCCTTCCCCTTCCCCCCCTTCCCCGTTCTTCCCCTTTCCCCCCCTTTTCCCCCCTTTTCCCTCTTCCCTCTTCTTCCCCTTTTACCTTTTCCCCTTTTCCTTTCTCCCTTCCCTCTCTCCTCTTTCCTCTCCCCCTTCCCTTTCCCCCCTTTTCTTCTCCCTTTTCCTTCCCTTCCCCCGTTCCCCCTTTCCCCTTCTCCCTCCTCCCCTTTTCCTGTTTCCCTGCTTTTCCCCCTTCCCCGTTCCCCCCCCTTTTCCTTCCCCTTCCCCCCCCTTTTCCCCCCTTTTCCTTCACCCCCCCATTCACCCCCATTCTCCCCCCAGGGCCCCCCCATCCCTTCAGGACTCCTCGGATGAGGGGGAGCTCTTCCTGGCCAGGCAGGAGCAGTTCGAGCGCTCCCACAACTTCCGCTTCCAGGAGCCAGGAGCGGAGCAGGTCTGGGATAGGGGGGGGATCCAGTGGGATACGGGGGGGGGAAGGACATGGGGGGATCCAATGGGATGCTGGGGGAAGGATATGGGGGGATCCAATGGGATGCTGGGGGGAAGGATATGGGGGGGAGAAGGATATGGGGGGATCCAATGGGATGCTGGGGGGGAAGGACATGGGGGGGATCCAATGGGATACGGGGGGGGGAAGGATATGGGGGGATCCAATGGGATGCTGGGGGGGGGAAGGACATGGGGGGGATCCAATGGGATACGGGAGGGGGAAGGATATGGGGGTGATCCAATGGGATGCTGGGGGGGGGAAGGATATGGGGGGATCCAATGGGATGCTGGGGGGGGGATGTGGATGCATTGACCCCCATTGCCCCCCATTCCCCCCCCAGGTGCAGACGTTCCCAAGGAGCATCCCCACGTCCGTGCGGCGCCGGGATGAGAGGAGGAAGGAGAAGAGGGAGGAGATCCGGGAGAGGAAGAGGAAGGTGAGGGGGGAGGAAGGCGCCGTGTCCCTGGACCCCTATGGATCTGTGGCCATGCGTCCCTATGGCACCAGGCCCATGTATCCCTATGGATCTGTGCCCATGTATCCTTATGGATCTGTGCCCATGTATCCCTATGGATCCGTGTCCCTGGATCCCTATGGATCTGTGGCCATGTATCCCTATGGCACCATGTCCATGTGTCCCTATGGCACCAGGTCCATGTATCTCTATGGCCCTGTATCCCTATGGAGCTGTCTCCCTGTCTCCCTATGTCCCTCTCTCTCTATGTGTGTCCCTTTCTCCCTATGTCCCTGTATTCCTGTGTGTCTCACTGTATCCCTCTGTGTCTCCCTATGGCCCTGTATCTCTGTATCCCTATGTCCCTCTGTGTCTCCCTGTGTGTCCCGGTGTCCCCATGGCCCCGTGCCGGTGTCTCCCTATGTCCCTGTGTGTATCCCTGTCTCCCTATGTCCCTGTATCCCTATGTCCCTGTGTGTGTCCCGGTGTCCCCATGGCCCCGTGCCGGTGTCCCCGCAGGAGAAGCAGCGGCACCGGGAGGAGCTGAAGCACCTCAAGAACCTCAAAAGGGCCGAGGTGGCCTCGCGGCTGCGGCGGCTCCAGCGCGCGTCCGGCACCGGCTCCGGCTCCGGCACCGGCACCGGCATCACCGCGGCCGCGCTCGAGGGGGACTTCGACCCCGAGCAGCACGACCGGCTCATGGCGGTGGGAGGGAGCCCCCCCGCACCCGCCCCTGTCCATCCCCATCCATCCACATCCATATCCACGTCCATCCCTGTCCATCCACATCCATCCACATCCATATCCACATCCATCCCTGTCCATTCATATCTATTCCTATCCATCCATATCCATCCATATCCACATCCATCCCTGTCCATCCACATCCATCCCTGTCCATCCCTGTCCATCCACATCCATCCCTGTCCATCCCCATCCATCCCCATCCATCCCCATCCATATCCACGTCCATCCCTGTCCATCCACGTCCATCCCTGTCCATTCACATCCATCCACATCCATCCCTGTCCATCCCTGTCCATCCACATCCATTCCTGTCCATCCACATCCATCCACATCCATCCCTGTCCATCCCTGGCTATTCACATCCATCCCTGTCCATCCACATCCATCCCTGTCCATCCACATCCATCCCTGTCCATCCACATCCATCCATATCTGTATCCATTCATGTCCATCCCTATCCATCCAGATCCATCCCTGTGCATCCATATTCATCCCTGTCCATCCACATCCATCCAGATCCATCCCTGTCCATCCACATCGATTCATATCCGTATCCATTCATGTCCATCCATATCCATCCCTGTCCATCCACGCCCACCTCTGTCCATTCATGTCCATGTCCATTCCTGTCCATCCATATCCCCCTGTATCCATCCATATCCCCCCATATCCACTCCATATCCCCCTGTATCCCTCCCACCAGGAATGCTTTGGGGACCAGTACTATGGGCAGGAGGAGGAGGAGAAGCCCCAGTTTGAGGCTGAGGAAGGGCTGGAGGGTGAGTGGGGGGGGGGCCCTGTCCTGTGCCCCCCCCATGTCCCTTCTGCCCCCCATCTCCCTGTGCCCCCCATGTCTCTGTGCCCCCCCCATCTCCCTGTGTCCTTTCCCCCCCCAGATGACTGGAACTGGGACACGTGGACGGGTCCAGCCGAGGGGGGGGCTGAGCAGGAGCCCCATTGTGAGGACCCCGACTTTGTGGTGAGTGCAGGACCCCCCCCCGGAGTAGTTCATTGCAGTGGGGGGGGACAGGCTCCACCCCCCATATTCTATATGTGCCCCCCCATGTTCTATATCCCATGTTCTGTATGTTCTGTATGCTATGTTGTGTGTTCTATGTCCCATGTTCTATATGTCCCATGTTCTGGATGTGCCATGTTCTATATATGCCATGTTCTATATGTCTCGTGTTATATATGTGCCCCCCATGTTCTATATGTTCCATGTTCTATGTATCCCATGTTCTGTATGCCCCATACTCTGTGTGTCCCTCCCATGTTCTGTATGTCCCATGTTCTGTGTATCCCATGTTCTATATGCCCCATACTCTATATGTGCCCCCCCATGTTCTGTGTCCCATGTTCTATGTATCCCATGTTCTATATGCCCCATACTCCATATGTGCCCCATGTTCTGTATGTGCTATGTTCCATATGTGCCCCCCCCCATGCAGATGGACGCCGATTACACCCCTGCACCCCCCCCCAAGCGCTTCCGGGACGCACTGGAGCGGCACAAACCCCCCTTTGACCCTGGTGAGAGCAGCACCCCCCATACCCCCCCCATAACCCCCCCAATGGACCCTTCCTGACCCCACCCCCCCATAACCCCCCCAATGGACCCTTCCTGACCCCCCCCATAACCCCCCCAATGGACCCTTCCTGCCCCCCCCAGGCTCCAGCACCCTGGAGCAGTACCTGGATGAGTTCTATGGGCTGGACCATGAGGATGTGATTGGGGGGGACCTGCCCTGCCGCTTCCGCTACCGCCGCGTCCTGCCCTGCGACTTCGGCCTCACCACCGAGGAGGTGCGCTCCGAAACCCCCCCCCCAGAGCCAAATGGAACCTTCCAGCCCCATTGAACCCCCTAGAGCCAAATGGAACCTTCCAGCCCCATTGAACCCCCTAGAGCCAAATGGAACCTTCCAACCCCATTGAACCCCCGCCCCCCAGACCCATTTGGACCCCCCTCAGCCCCACCTGGACCCCCGCTTTGGACCCTTCCCAACCCATTTGGATCCCCCGAGACCCATCTGGACCCCCCCATTAGACCCCCCCCAACCCCATTTGGATCTTCCCAGACCCGTCTGGACCCCCCCAACCCCATTTGGACCCCCACAGACCCATTTGGACGCCCCCAACCCCATTCGACCCCCCCCCGACCCATTTGGACTACCCCAACACCATCTGGACCCCCCCCGACCCCCTGTGCCCCCCCTCCATCCATCAGATCTTGGCAGCGGATGACAAGGAGCTGAACCGCTGGTGCTCCCTGCGCAAGACCTGCATGTACCGGTAAGGGGGGGGGGGTCCAGATGGGGTTATTGGGGACTATCGTGATAGTTTATCACAGTTTATCACGATTGGGGACTATCAGAAGAGTTTATTGGGGACTATCGCGAGAGCTCGTCACAGTTTATCGCGATAGCTCGTCACAGTTTATCGCGAATGGGGACTATAGCAAGACTATCTTGGAGTTTAGCAGGGTTTATTGACTGTCAGAAGAGTTTATTGGGGACTATCGCGATAGCTCGTCACAGCTTATCGCGATAGCTCGTCACTGTTTATCGCGATTGGGGACTATAGCAGGAGTATATTGGAGTTTAGCAGGGTTTATTGGGGACTATCGTGATAGTTTATCACAGTTTATCATGATTGGGGACTATCAGAAGAGTTTATTGGGGACCATCGCGATAGCTCGTCACAGCTTATCGCGATAGCTCGTCACAGTTTGTTGCGATTGGGGACTATAGCAAGAGTTTATTGGGGACTATCATGACAGTTTATCGTGATTGGGGACTATCAGAAGAGTTTATTGGGGACCATCGCGATAGCTCGTCACAGCTTATCGCGATAGCTCGTCACAGGTTATCGCGATTGGGGACTATAGCAAGAGTATATTGGAGTTTAGCAGGGTTTATTGGGGACTATCGTGGTAGTTTATCACAGTTTATCACGATTGGGGACTATCGCGATAGCTCGTCACAGTTTATCGCGATTGGGGACTATAGCAAGAGTATCTTGGAGTTTAGCAGGGTTTATTGACTATCAGAAGAGTTTATTGGGGACTATCGCGATAGCTCGTCACAGTTTATCGCGATAGCTCGTCACAGTTTATCGCGAATGGGGACTATAGCAAGACTATCTTGGAGTTTAGCAGGGTTTATTGACTATCAGAAGAGTTTATTGGGGACTATCGCGATAGCTCGTCACAGCTTATCGCGATAGCTCGTCACAGTTTATCGCGATTGGGGACTATAGCAAGAGTAGAGTATATTGGAGTTTAGCAGGGTTTATTGGGGACTATCGTGGTAGTTTATCACAGTTTATCACGATTGGGGACTATCAGAAGAGTTTATTGGGGACTATCGCGATAGTTCGTCACAGTTTATCGCGATAGCTCGTCACAGTTTATTGCGATTTTGGGACTATAGCAAGAGTATATTGGAGTTTAGCAGGGTTTATTGACTATCAGAAGAGTTTATTGGGGACTATCGCGATAGCTCGTCACAGCTTATCGCGATAGCTCGTCACAGTTTATCGCGATTGGGGACTATAGCAAGAGTAGAGTATATTGGAGTTTAGCAGGGTTTATTGGGGACTATCGTGGTAGTTTATCACAGTTTATCACGATTGGGGACTATCAGAAGAGTTTATTGGGGACTATCGCGATAGCTCGTCACAGTTTATTGCGATTGGGGACTATAGCAAGAGTATCTTGGAGTTTAGCAGGGTTTATTGACTATCAGAAGAGTTTATTGGGGACTATCGCGATAGCTCGTCACAGCTTATCGTGATAGCGCGTCACAGTTTATCGCGATTGGGGACTATAGCAAGACTATCTTGGAGTTTAGCAGGGTTTATTGACTATCAGAAGAGTTTATTGGGGACTATCGCGATAGCTCGTCACAGTTTATCGCGATAGCTCGTCACAGTTTATTGCGAATGGGGACTATAGCAAGAGTATCTTGGAGTTTAGCAGGGTTTATTGACTATCAGAAGAGTTTATTGGGGACTATCGCGATAGCTCGTCACAGCTTATCGCGATAGCTCGTCACAGTTTATTGCGATTGGGGACTATAGCAAGAGTTTATTGGGGACTATCATGACAGTTTATCGTGATTGGGGACTATCAGAAGAGTTTATTGGGGACTATCGCGATAGCTCGTCACAGTTTATCGCGATTGGGGACTATAGCAAGAGTATCTTGGAGTTTAGCAGGGTTTATTGACTATCAGAAGAGTTTATTGGGGACTATCGCGATAGCTCGTCACAGTTTATCGCGATAGCTCGTCACAGTTTATTGCGATTTTGGGACTATAGCAAGAGTATCTTGGAGTTTAGCAGGGTTTATTGACTATCAGAAGAGTTTATTGGGGACTATCGCGATAGCTCGTCACAGTTTATCGCGATAGCTCGTCACTGTTTATCGCGATTGGGGACTATAGCAGGAGTATATTGGAGTTTAGCAGGGTTTATTTACGATCAGAAGAGTTTATTGGGGACTATCGCGATAGCTCGTCACAGTTTATCGCGATAGCGCGTCACAGTTTATCGCAATTGGGGACTATAGCAAGAGTATATTGGAGTTTAGCAGGGTTTATTGGGGACTACCGTGATTGGGGACTATAGCAAGAGTATCTTGGAGTTTAGCAGGGTTTATTGACGATCAGAAGAGTTTATTGGGGACTATCGCGATAGCTCGTCACAGCTTATCATGATAGCGCGTCACAGTTTATCGCGATTGGGGACTATAGCAAGACTATCTTGGAGTTTAGCAGGGTTTATTGACTATCAGAAGAGTTTATTGGGGACTATCGCGATAGCTCGTCACAGTTTATCGCGATAGCTCGTCACAGTTTATTGCGAATGGGGACTATAGCAAGAGTATCTTGGAGTTTAGCAGGGTTTATTGACTATCAGAAGAGTTTATTGGGGACTATCGCGATAGCTCGTCACAGTTTATCGCGATAGCTCGTCACAGTTTATTGCGATTGGGGACTATAGCAAGAGTATCTTGGAGTTTAGCAGGGTTTATTGACTATCAGAAGAGTTTATTGGGGACTATCGCGATAGCTCGTCACAGCTTATCGCGATAGCGCGTCACAGTTTATCGCGATTGGGGACTATAGCAAGAGTATATTGGAGTTTAGCAGGGCTTATTTTGGACTATCGTGATAGTTTATCACAGTTTATCATGAGTGGGGACTATCAGAAGAGTTTATTGGGGACTATCGCGATAGCTCGTCACAGTTTATTGCGATTGGGGACTATAGCAAGAGTATCTTGGAGTTTAGCAGGGTTTATTGACTATCAGAAGAGTTTATTGGGGACTATCGCGATAGCTCGTCACAGTTTATCGCGATAGCTCGTCACAGTTTATTGCGATTGGGGACTATAGCAAGAGTATCTTGGAGTTTAGCAGGGTTTATTGACTATCAGAAGAGTTTATTGGGGACTATCGCGATAGCTCGTCACAGTTTATCGCGATAGCTCGTCACAGTTTATCGCGATTGGGGACTATAGCAAGAGTATCTTGGAGTTTAGCAGGGTTTATTGACTATCAGAAGAGTTTATTGGGGACTATCGCGATAGCTCGTCACAGTTTATCGCGATAGCTCGTCACAGTTTATCGCGATTGGGGACTATAGCAAGAGTATCTTGGAGTTTAGCAGGGTTTATTGACTATCAGAAGAGTTTATTGGGGACTATCGCG